TACGTTCCTCCTAGATTAAGAAGATGTAAACAGGAGCAGCCAGGATTATTTTTGTAGATTCTTAGGTTTATTTATATGTGTGTGCGATTAAAGAAAGTGGCCCCATCCTTAGAATAAATTCAGACCGCCGGCGAAGAACTCGATTCTCTCGAACGTCTTACCAGCAAGTTTGCCAAGCCGTAAGCGAGAATCGGGTGAATCGCGAGTCGTGTCATCGTTATCGTTCGATGGCGATCGATAAAACATTTTAATGGTTAACCGCATGGTTTTCCCTTATCGTGTGAATTCCTCGAACCGTAGACACACTGCGGCGGTCTTTTCTTATGCAAACGCGGACGGGATCTATGGTGGAGAAGAGACGTGCCATTTGCGAAATGGTCACGGGCCGGAAAAGTGGAGGGGAAAAAGAGAGGTTGAGAAAAAGGTTCGGTGTGTATATGTATGTACACGGAATTGTATGGGTGAGACTACATCGGCCGTAGAAAGAAAGAGAGAAAGAGAGAGAGAGAGAGAGAGAGAGAGAGAGAGAGAGAACGCTAGCCTGGGACGAAACGGCGAGAGTGAGGAACTTCGGGTTTCCTAGGGGGTTGGACGAAGAGGGCGAGGGGTCGATATTGTGCTTGACAGATAGTTTCCCATAGCTCCGGCAATCCATCATGGCCGGCACGCGTATACGTATTGGTTTTTCCGCAACGCGTCTTAGCTGCGAACCTCGAATTGAATATATTTTTTTTCGCCCTTCTGCGCGTAGCTGTCCGGGTAGCCCGCGCGGAATTTATCACCCCTTTCACGCCCTCCGCCCCGATCCTCGAGGAGTTCATAAGACTTTCCACTTTTTTTACCTATCGAACCGAACGATTTCTTCATCCGTTCAAAAATAATAATCCAACGTTAACTTTTATTCTTCTCTTGGTATCTCGCGAAACTGTATCGTCATTAAATTCGCATTAAATATATTCAAAACCCAAATTAATTTACACAGTTAATGGATCAAATCAGAAAGGTGCAACGAGGGGTGAAAGGCGCGACGCGAAGCAGCAAGAGTGCACAACAGATACACGTGTCCTGGCGGCTTCGCTTTACAACGCACGTGATTCATGGGAGTCCCGATACGTTTTTTACACCTGAGACGGCTTTATTAGAATTTCTAATGGGACGGACGAGACCCGAGGAGCGGACGCGCGGAACGACGGGAAGGAGTGACACGCGGACCGAAACCTCCGGCTCGGACTTCTTTCCAACTTGATTCAACTCGATGCGTTTCGCTTTCATTACGTCAGCCTGAAATGCATGCGTCGACGTTCTCTGACGTGATGACTTCGTTATCCACGTCCCCGTATAACAGAGTGGCTTTCCGAGGGTTCATTTAAATGGTAAAGGATCCTTCCAAATTTTAATGGCAGGGGAAAGCAAATCATGTATGGTTTGTACGTTGCGTCGAAAAATGAAAAGTAGAACAAGGCGCATTTAAAATTATCTTTCCTTTATCTAGTCATCTCGAATGGAATTGACTATGACTATCAGATATATCCCGATACATAAACGATCGAATCCGGTTCTTTTTCCCGGAGTCTCTTTGGAAGACCGGAAACGGGTCCTCGGAGGGCACCGTGCGAGAACAAAGCGACGCGATGACGAATCCGCAAATGTCCCAGCGGATGATCGCGTTTCCAGGGTCTCGACGATGTTTTGCGGTTCTGGATGAACCGTGTCTGATCGCACGATCACTGATCACTCGTCAATCTCTCTATCTCTTTCTCGGAACTAGTCGGTCGGACGCGCGCTGGCGCGAGGTCGCCGTCGAAAGAGGAAAGGCTTGCATAGGAAGGATGGAAGGTGTAGGACAAATACCGACGCTCCGAAGTGGCGAATACCCGAAGAGAGGCGGTGGGGACGAGCCGTGCAACACAGCGCACACCGACGCGAGTACAACACCGAGAGATAGTCGATTAGCTGTGGTGGGGTCCGTCTGGACGGTAGTGGGGTGGCATTTGCGAAGAGGTGGGGAAGTCGGGGGCGGGTGCGCGCGACAATTCAACGGGAACGAAGCGCGTTCGCCGCATCTGGCGAGCGAGCGCCAAGCTACACGCTCCTCTTGAACGTTTTCGGACGACGTCCGTCTGCTATCTGCAACGGTGCATCAATTTTTAAGAATCGTTCCTCGCAACCGAGGCGATCGTTCCTTTTGGAGGGTCAACGGTGAACGCGGGACGACGGTTTGATCGATGGCGAAGGTCGAGAAGGGATGAGGAGAAGCAAAGGACGCGGAGACAATGATTTCGGATAAGTGCGGCCGCGAGGAACGCGGAAAATAGTCGAGAAGGAAGCGCGAGCAAGCCGAGCGAAGCGTCGTCCGCTTCGCGGAGGCGAGCTCCGCCTCCATCGGCCGTCCCCTTCGCCTCGGAACCCCACCGGGACGAGGCCACCCCGCGGTGCCCCCCGTTTGATCAACTGGCTACTACGTCACACATGCTTCTGGCTCGGTTCGGAGCCGGCAACGGCAACGAACGAAGGCTCCGCTCTCGACCGGCTCGGCGAGTCGGCTCAGTGAGTTACGAGTTGCGTCCGGGTTCGCCGTACGTTGCGATAACGGGGGCGTCAATCGGATCGCGCGATTGGGAGAGGATTCCTAAACCTCGTGCGCGCTTTCCTCGCTCCGTCGTCTTTCTTCGTCCCTCTTTCTCGTACGCGATTACCCCGTCTCGGTCGATCCTTCTTCCGTTCGGCCCGTCCCTCTCGTTCGGCTACGGGCAACAGGTTTGAATTTATGGGACAATAAAGAGTGCGGTGCGTAGTGCGCGCGTGTCGTTTCCCATCTCGATCCTCTTTCGCTCGCGGGCTCCTCTCTCTTTCGCAGTCCCGTCCGTCGTCTTTCACGCGAACTATCCGCCACCGAGAGCATCGCGACCGGGGACTATCAAACTCTCGTAAAACTGTCAGCCGCCTAGCCGACGGGTTGACTTATGCGCGTTCCAGCCTCCGACCGCGGCTCTCTCGTTCTCTCCACGCGGGGCACGCGAACCGCGCCAGCAAGTGGACCGTCAGACCAGTGTGTCCGGTCGACATGACTTGAGGACTAGATCGGAGTCGAAGAGCGAACGCGGCCGATCCAAGGGTGACGGAGCGGAGAGCTCGCGACGGCGAGGGCGATTCTCGTCGCGTGGAACCACCTCTTCTTCCGTCGGCACGAGGGTGTACGCAAAAGGGAGCGCGTGCGCGCGTTGCCCCCTCGCGGAGACGGCAAGCGGAAGACTACTTCTCGGTGACGTTGCGGCCACCAGAAGGTTGCACCGGACGAGAGCGATAAAGAAAGAAGGAGAAAGAGAGTATACCTCGCCCCACCATCGGGGCTCCCGAATATCTCTCCATTAGCCCCCCTGACGGTGGTATCCCCTCTCTGCGACCCCTTTTGGTCTCCCGTCTCGCTCGCACCACCCCTCTTCCGTCGGTTCTTGTCACGTTCGGGTAGCGGCCAAGCAAACGCGCGTACACACACCACCGTCGTCGTCACCACCACCACGCATCACACAAATCGAGCACGAGCAGCAGCAGCAGCAGCAGCAGCAGCAGCGCGAGCAGCAGCAGCAGCAGCACCAGCAGCAGCAGCACCAGAACCGACGACGGAGACGCAAGGAACGGGGTTGAAGAATCCTACGCCGGCGGAGAGACCAATCAAGGTTTGACGAACGACGGGGATTGGTCGAGGCGAGCTCCTCTGACACGCAGAGTGCTCGGGCACGTGACAAGCTACCGCACACACCGGGGCCTCCGTTGGATCGCGGCGAGGCCTTCAGTACGATACCAACCACCCTCCGCGCACGCAACAGGAACGGTGAAACTCCTTCACCCCCTTGACTCGGTGATATCGGCCACGCACGGAGATTCGTTTTTAACGTCGACGACTATTCACGTTTTCCGCGAGTATCCACGGTTGGTTTCGTTCGTTTCGTGCAGCCGCGGTTACGCTACGGGAGGACACACGGGTGTGAAAGAATCACCGCGCGGAGGAATTAAAACGGAGTGCACGGGGGTCTCGTCTTCAATGGGGCGACTTGATAAGCCGGCCGTTACGCGCTACCGCACGTTGCCGCCACGAGTTCTCCGTAGGTAATTTGCGACTGGCGAGGTCGTAAAGAAGCGGAAGACAGTTTTATAGCCCAGGCCCACGTGGCCCTCGTAAACTCGGCCCAGGTCGGTGTTTACGACTCTGCCGACACTCGCTCCATTCGTCGCGAGGACGACCCCTCGTTCATTATCGAATCGCTTAGGGACTCGTGTTTATCCGTGCGTAACAGACCGCGATAGAGGTGCGAAACCCGGCGAGAAGAACAGGAGAGGACGGTGATCGCGATTCTTTCTCTCTTCGCACCGAAAAGTGTTGTACCGCCTACGCGTGACATGCCACCGTTCTCGCTGTTGCGGTTCTCGTTCTCATCCTCGTCGCCGTGAGACCGGCGGACCCCATGCGACGATGACACGGCCCCGCATTTAACGACAGTGCGCGCGATCGAGTCGGGGACCAGATCGGAAGAGTGTTTTGTTTCTCGTGAATGTCGAACCATACGGAACGATACAACGGAGTGACCATCGGTGAAGCATTCGCGTGAACCATGAGTTCCTATCAGTTCGTAAATTCGCTCGCGTCGTGCTACGCGGGTCAACAGGCTCAGCAGCAACCCCGAGGAACCGCGAGCTCCCCTGGAGAACCGCTGCAAGCCGCGTCGCCCGCCGGTGGTGACTACTACAACCCGAACGCTGCGGCCACCAGCTATCCCGCGCCGTGCTACTCGCCCCAGCAACATTATCCTCAGCATCCTTACGCGACCCCGGCTTCGGGGATGCAGCACACGGCACCCACGGGAATGATAGACTACACGCAACTGCAACCGCAGCCGCGACTCAGTGCCACGACAACCTCGCAGCAACACAGCCTTCACCAGCAGTCGCAGCACCATCCGCAGCAGCATCATCCTCAACCGCAGCTTCACCCGGACCCGACGACGCCGCTCCTTCAAGCGGCCTCGGCGCCATCGGCACCGTCTACGTCCAGCTGCAAGTACGCCGACTCGACGTCCTCCACCGGCGTCGCGTCGCCACAAGATCTGACCACGTCCACGTCCAGGAACAGTCCGACGCCTCTGGTCGCACCAGGCACCAGCAAGGCTGCCTCCGGATTGACTTCGCCGCCTGGAAGTTCCTCGAGGTCGTCGGTCGCGGCTTCCGCGGCGTCGCCGGCGAGCGGAAGTTCCAGACAGGTCGCCGAGGGTAGTTCGACGTTGACCACGGCGTCGTCGGCATCTTCGCCCGCCTCCTCGACTTCCAGCACTTCCAGCACGGGAAACAACTCATCGAGCAAGACGAACGCTAGCGGCAGTAACCCGCCGCAGATCTACCCGTGGATGAAGAGGGTGCACATCGGACAAAGTAAGTGCCCGAGTCTTTTTCTATTCTTCTCGTTCGTCCTCCTCTTGATCCGGTTTCTCTTCTGCTCCGGTTTAATTGCGGGTTCCCCCTGGGCCGGACGAAATTGCCGCGAGAATCGGTCCAGGGATGATAGTCTCAGAATTTTAGGGGCATAATATTCTTGCAAAATAGTCCGTCAGTGTTTTGAGAGCAAGAAGCCGAATTTTAGGTAATTCCGTTTCTCGGTAGGCAACTCGAGAGATCGCGGACATTCTGAAATTTGAACCTTGCTCTCACACTGCTCGCGGTCCGAAGAACACGTGCGCGCTCCGTTGGAGGTAAAAATTAGTAGCAGAATAAATATAGAAATTATGATATCAAGTTACTCGGAGAGTTTAACGTCTTTTAGCAGATACCGTGGTGATAAGGTACATTATACGTTTCTAATAAGATCGTAACGCTGATTAGATTCTAATCTGCAATTCCGTAACGAGCCGTATGTGTATTATACGCTCGCCATCGAGTAGGAATTAAAATAGTAATAAAAGGAAGCTAGGCCGTAAATCGTCAGCCCGTGATCGGTCATAATTTACGACGGATACTTATGAAAACGATTAAAAACGGTTGAACGAAAGCAACCGCGTGATTTGTAGATCGTAGGCGCCTCGTCGCGGAAATATTTGTGCCAGTGTGTCGTAACCAGTGGAATGCCAGTGGTCGCGGAGCCTTAATGCCCACGATGCGATTATTTCGCGGCGGACGCCACCTTTGGGCACCCTTTAAATCACCGGCTGAAATATATTCGACCGGCCGATTATAAATTTTCGATACTCGTCGCTGATAGCGGGCCCTGGATCGTATATCACGTCTACCGTGATGTTTCCAACTGTAAAACCGTGGACAAATTAGTTTTAGAATTTCTTCTTCCTCTTTCGAGTAGTTGAACCTACTGGTCATACACGGTTTCGAGATTCTGTTGTACGAAACAGAATCGAAAGAAAATAGACTTTTAGAAGATCGTTGGGTATCTGGGAAGTGGAACAAACGGATGGCTGAGAAAAGTTAACGAACAGGTTGAGAGGCTTGAGATGGATCGATGATAGATGAGCGTGGGACGAGATTAAGTTGGATACTGATAAGAGCGAGTTATAAATGCGAAATTTGTTAAACGACGACGGACGGTAACGATCGGAGCTGCTCGATAGGAAATTTTTTGATGATGCCATCGGAACAGGCCTCGATCTCCTCCAGGTAGCGGAACATTCAGACTTTAAAGAACTTGTAAAAATATTTCGACAAGGTAATTTAATTGTAACGATTATCAAGTGGACATCGAGACAGTTGCTAAATTTCAGTAGTTCCAGTCGATATCTTGTGCCATCTGTAGAAACTTTAGTTCAATTTTTTTAATCGCTCCCACAAACGACGAATTCGATTCGTTAACCTTTTTCATCTCCCCGGAGAAGAAAAAACAAATGAGTACCGAAAGAGGCAACGGGAAAAAAGAAAAGTAGCCGTGTCAAGGAGGCGGCCGTCGCGAACGCCCACGCAGCCCCTCGTGGAGATCGTAGTTCCACCTTGAGGTCCGTGTGAAATCCTGATTACGTAAAACGGAGTGGCGCACGGTAGTCCCTCGTGAAATCGTCAGACCCGATTCTCCCGCGGATAACCTCGCGCGGCTCTGGGTCGGCCATAAAAAATACGGAAACGAGAGGAGACAAATAGAGTGCGTCGCGTTCTCAATGAGCGAGGGAACCCGGCGAGAGGGGAACGCGAGGAGGATGGCACACAGTCGAGGCCACGGGACGCGAGTAATTCAGCGTTGGAGAGTCCAAGAGACTGGATCCACCTGCCCCCGTGGTTCAAAAGGGAGATAAGACAGCGAGCGCTGGTCGCGTTCACATTAGTCGCCCCGCGTGATTTACTGCGCGGCCAGTATGATTCAGTCAGCGGGGAATTTGACGAAGAATTAATGGTATTATGATATCGTGTGTAACTCTATGTATGTGCGCCCGGGCCATAAATCAGGCTGCATTGTAAGGCGCGGGGGGCCCTTTCCTTCGTCGTCTCTTTCTCTCTCTGCCCCTTCGCGTCTGTGTTTCGTCCTCTCGTTCCGTCTTTCCGTGAGCGTCCGGCCTCTCACGAACGAAGGCCGAAGCCTATTCGACGGGCCTCCCAAACGGGATACGAAAAGCAAAAGCTCCTTTCCTGCGCCGAGGCTCGACTTCCTCTCCGAACACGCTCACGCCTACTACGCGCGGCTTTCCTACGCTCGCGTTTGCTCTTCGTTTCTGGTTTCTTCTTATTCTCCTCGCGTTTCTGGTTTCGGTTACTAGGATTACAGTCACGGCTTTTTACAGTATCGGTTTCTGGCGATATGTTCAAAAGACGGAAGTGAACCGTCGTAAAAGCGAATCTAGATGCGACTAATTCTTTACGATCACTCGTCGTTCGTCGTGCACATAGAATTGGAATATTATGTGAAAATCTTTCCTAAGAAAACCAGCCTCGCGTTTATTACACAAAGGGAGCAGTGATAATTGCCCCATTCGCGGAACCGTGGCTGAGCAAGAACGAGCAAAGGGTAGCCGTAAATCACGAAGAGTCGCGCGAGCATCCTCTCGTCAAAGGGTGAATTGTATTCAAGGATAATTACGTTAGGTGAGCTTCGACCTGCTCGTGTCCCTTGTAAACCATCCGAAAGCAAAGCACCCTTTCTTTCTTTGGGGGGAAACGAGATCCGCAAGATTTTCGTAACGAATTCAGAACTATACTGTTCGCATACTGTGGCGAATTGAACATTGCATATTTCGAAATCTTACGTCCCGCGTATTAAAAATTGTCAATAAAAGATTATCAGTTTGAAAAATGGAAGGCAGGAAGAGCAACGGGCAATTTGGCGTTTGCACTTTCGAAATTTTGCCCCTGGCGAGATGACATCGTTCGATAAAACCGCTCCAAGAATTGTTTTTTCATCAGGTGCGGGCATTGCATGGTACAAAAATTAGAGGTTGGGAGGTATCCGAAGGTAATTACGCAATTAAATTTCGTCCCGGCATTTTCGACTCATACCCGACGCGTAATTATCTCGTACAAGAGCATCGCGATTCGTAATATCGTTTTCATCGTACGTGACCGGAATACATTTGAATTAAAATCGCTTGTCTCGATTGTAGTATACGCTCCGAGCTAGCGAGTTTCATTATAAGGAAAAAAGTTTCTGTACCAACAAGAATCAAAGCGTTAGCAGATGGTTATCTCGCGGTAGCAAAGTTTACATGCGATCGAATGTCCGTAAACGTTCAACCAAAATTTAATGGAAATTTGTACAAGAGCTTAAGGAGATCTTCTTCAGATACGTTAACGTTCACGAGACACGCCGCATTAACAAGCTTAATGACGATTGCGAAGCTACAGCTACCGATGGTTTCTTATGCCAGCTGAATCTCCTACCGTGTTCCCCTGATCTATTTAGGAACGGTCGATCAGCTATTAAACGATTATCGAACGATCATTTCACTGTGGACTACTGTTTGGACGGGTCTAGACGTTCCCTGCCGTTCCAGCAATAATCACGAGCTTGTTTTGATGTTTGCAAGTATTTGGACAGATCGTTCCGGGCAGGCATGTCCGTAATTGTAAGTTGGAAGTAATTGAAAGGTTCTGATCGGACGTATTGAGAGTTTCATAGATTAACGGTCGTAACGATTACGGAGTGTGAATAATTGCTCGGGAATAGGGATAATGCGCGTTTTTCCGTTCATTCCGAGCAGAATAATGAATGGAGTACAAGATATTAAGCGAATTAAGATATTAATTTGAAGCTGGAATTAATTTGCTCTTATCAGTATTAAATGATAAATTCCTAATGTTCACTATAATTTCCGAGTTAACTTCGTTATGTATATGTGATGCTTGTTGTCTACGGCTCGTCGACATTCTAATAACGGGACTCGCGATTGCCGGCGACGATGGGTTTTCCATCATTTAAAACATTTCCTTCGACGGGTGAAACAAATTGGAGATTGATTGAACAATCGCTTAATAGAAGTTAAAATTGTTGGAAACAGTATCGATGGAAAATTACATTGGAAACCACGTCCGCGTCCGGCTACTTTCCATGAAAGTTCCCAGCTTTTTAATTCCTCCACCTTCCTGGCTTTCTCCATTTTCTTTTTACGCGATTAATCTAAGGAACGGTGTTTTCTCGTCAAGAGGCACGCGTGAAAATCCATTAGCCGATTCCGCAAATAAACTCTAATAGATAAATGAACGTGCAAACAATGCACCTGCAGATAATTAAGCCATTATCAGGAAACCAATCGTGCTCGTACTGCTCCTCTTACGCTAGTCTCTGATTAATACATTTATCTTCGATTGATCTCATACGAAATTGATAATCTCAATGACGTACTCGATTGCTTGAAATATGAAATTTACTCAATGAATCTCTTACAATATAAATTATAAAACATATGCCTGGTACATAAGAAGTATTTGAGATACAAGCGTCTAGCCAAAGATACAAGAATTAGACCAGAGATACTACCGGCTCTTTTACATAATTTAACCCGACGAAAGCCAGTGATTTTTTCCCTGCTCAATGCGACGCGACGGATCGAAAAATGGATCAGTCGCGTAACCCGTAATCTCGGGTCGATCATTTCGCAAATAAGAAGCAGTTAGGATCGCGAAAGGAGTTACACGGAATTCCTCGAGCCTTTTCGATGGTATTCGATGGAAGAAACAATCACCGATCGGTCCTCGTCTCGAGGCGATTTCGATCATCTTTAACGCGTCGGTTCCGATGATCATCGGTTGCGCGTTTCAAATGATTTCGAAGTCGTTAGGATGAGACGCGGGTTGTACGAGAAGCCATTACGAGAGCTCGCTTTCTTCGGGGGCGTATTTGTTTGGTCGATTGCAATAAATAGCTGATGCATTTACGATTGATCGGCGTTCGGGCCGGCTCCGGGTCAAGGTAGCAGCCACGAGCTCGACTTACTCCTTCGACATCGCGA